TTTTAAAGAAATTTATATATAACAAAGAAGTTTTTAAAGATTTCTTAAGAACTATCAGGTCAATTTTAACATTCTTACTACTATTAAATGCATCTTGATAAGCTTTACAACTTTTGTTACAAGACCAAGAATGATTTACTTAGTAAAAAAAAGTTTTAGATAGAGTAGCTCCATATTTGTACTTATAATAAAATTTATATATAAAAAAAAAATTTTTGTTCATTTAACTTGTAATTTGCCTATTAATTGTATTTAAATTTAATAATATAATATCTATTATACTGTATAATTTAAGTAACACTTCATAGATTATACCAAGACTTGTTTTAAATACATTAATTCTTCCCAATTAACGCTAGAAAGTTTGATATGTGACTAAAGGTGAAGAAGAAGCTGAAAGTGTGTTTAATTACAGATTTGCACAGCCATTATCAGTATTATCGAATGCCAAAGTACAAAGGAATAGACCAATTAAAGGAATTCAAATTCATTTACATGTTTATCAAGAATCTACAAATTATAAGGATAAGTATGTTGTTGTTATTGAATATGGAAACAGGTAAGGGATATTGTATGATTTTTCAAAAGTCATTTTGATCTAATGTCGATTAATTAAGTTATTTCTGGAAAATAACTCGAGTTACATTAACAAAAAGATATTTTAAGTGATAAATTGTATAAATTTATTTTTAGAGGTATGGATATTTCCATAGAATTATCAGAATCAGTATCGCAAGTTTATATGTATGTTTATCGAGGTATGAAATTCAAGAACTATGAAATTCAAAAACTATACAATATTTTATTTAATTGTATTTAAATTTAATAACATGATATCTATTATATAATTTAAGGAACACTTCATAAATTACACCAAGACTTGTAAATGAAAAACCCATTGATCACTGCAATAGTCAATTTTTTATTACTTGGTTGCCATGATTTATTCAAAACTATAACAAAGACTATATTGAAAATTTACAGTTGAACTACCGCAGCAGGCCTAGAATCTAAAATTGAACCATCTAATTGTTATCCAACTATGAAGACCAACTTTGCAAACATATTGTAACAGAAACTCTTATTGTTAAACCAAACATCACACAATTAGATATAATAGAACTAAAATTAAGGATATTGATGCTGTGATTTATGCTACCAAATATCAAATTGAATTCCTATTTTTAGATAGGGACATTGATCTTGACACCTAATTAATTTATTTACTGATATTCTTTGATTTTATCATAAATATGCTAAAATGGAAAATAAGCATTTTACGCATTGTTATCTAATTATATCAAAATAGTATGGAGCTTTACAGCAGATGAACTACAATATAACAAGTTGCAATATTAAAGACTCTTAGTTCATAATATTTAAAACACTTTTAACCTAAAATATTCATATAAAAATATTTAAAAATGGCCAACCTCTAATAGAATAGAGATGACATGAATGCTTTCTTTGTTAAAGCAATTACTTATATATAAATTTTGATTATACTTCATTAAAAAAAGTTGGTGTTAGTATCGGTATAAGATCTTTATTCAAAATAAAACCCAATATAATCTTGTAATACAAACATACTTTTTTCATAATTGTTCTGAATTCTCAGATCGGTCCAGATTGATACAAGTTTTTAACTTGTATATCATTACCTAATAATTTCCACGTGACAAATTTACAAGGTATTTGTGTTTAACTGAATTGATCTGGATCATGAAATCAAAA